CGAAAGAAACATCTGACGAATGTGGCATAGCTGTCCGCAATGATTCATCTCCACGTGAGAAACGTATACGCGTCCAGACACAGATGGATGGATGGATGGATGGATGGGGTACAGCGGCTTATCCAGCTCTGACAAAGCAATATTTGTGATTCACGCCACCTCCCCAGTCAATAACACGGCGAGAACGGGAAAAGAAAAAAATCTCAAGTATTGGGGGCTAAGAGTAAAAGCCAATCACACTATACAGGGAAGCTGGAGACTACTATTAATCTTCAGAACGAAATGACAGCCTGATCCAGCGCTTCAGCCAGCCCTGACCGCACGAATTCCGCGCACTCCACACACACTCGTACCATCATCACACCACCACTACATGGAGGTTTTTGACAACCCTCGGCAGAGAGTAGGGCAGCCACGGGGGCCTTCTCGCTGCAACAGGCTGCACAGAAAATGTGGCCACAGCGTCGGCAGTGGTGGCGTCGACGCAGAAGAGTGAGGAAACGCGCCTTGCACCGAGCGCACTCTCGGCCAACTCGAGCAGCTCCACTCCGCCACCGGCGCACTTCGTAGCTCTCTGCATCCTCTGGAGTGTCCTCCATGACGTCTGAATCGTCGTTCTCGTCCGTGTCATCAACGTAGCCTACGCCCACGAAGTGATCTGGTTGCCATGGCGCCAAGGGGTAGAGAGGATTCGGTGGGTCCGCGGGGACGGTGTCTTCGATCGGTGTTGATCGGAGGAAGGCGAGAAGAAGGGATCGGGAAGTGGCTAGCAGAAAAAGGAAATTACAATGCATTCTTGTCTCTCAGGTCGGTTGTTTCATTGCGACATTTGACTACTGACAAGCAAGAAAATCAGTTAAAATTTGCTCTAATTATCCACAACTCTAATCTCAAGTTATCAGTTCGTATTACCAGTCTTCCGACTCTCCTGGCTCCCTACACCAAGGACACCTTTAAAGGTACATCAGGCGGTTATACCACCTCCCACAATGAGGTCAAACCACTATCTTGTATGGACGTCCATTAGAGCCTTACTTTCAGTTCCAGCAGAAGACTCGGAAGGAGGTGGGGCAGGAGTAATGTTTTTGTCGATGGTTTGCTTTTTGGAGCCCTCCCGCTCCTCTTCGCTATTCAAGGTAGTCACCACATCAATTCCGACCTCAAGGGGACTGTCTGAAGAGTGCAACTCAACCGCCGTCCGATTAGCCTTGTCGTCGATGCGCCGATGAAAGAGATCCGCGAAGGGGCGCTTGGACGCCTTGCTAGCGACAACGCTATGCCAGTCGAAGAGATCGGCCAGACGGACATTGTGAATGCAGCCATCGCGTAGGCATCCAATTGCTGCTTCGCCGTCTAGTGGGCAAATTGGCTGTAAATCGAGCTGCTGCTCCAAATCTGGCGTTTCATTCTGCCGTGTGGTTGAGGAGGGGTCATGGAGCTCTACAGCAAACTGTAGACGGGAGAGTAAAAAGTAGAAAAGCCTAGACAGCTCATACTGTGGTGGAAAGAAGTAGGACTGTTCCCCTCATTGTTGAGGCACACTCTTGAACTGTTTAGGGGGCTAGCTTCCTCCAAACACATGCCCTATAAAGGTGCAGAAGGAGACGGTAGTTTGAAGGAACCGCCCCTCCCCTTGAATGAAGTCTGCGTCAGGTTAAAACAATGACACCGTTGAAACTGGACAACCTTCAACGGCTGTTCCTAACATCTTGAAATACGTTGATTGTTTAACGCCTAATTTCGGTAAAGGGATCACTCGGGTGCCCCACCACTGTACTTTTGCCGAATGGCCTGGCCCGTGGGCCAAGCCAGTAGCCCCAGGCCTTACTGAGCGCCAACAAGACATTTTAGTCTACGCTCTAATTTAACAACAAGGTCAGTAAGCTGGAGCACAAGGTAAACTACCAAGTTTGTAGGCTGCAACTAAAGCAGAATAATCGCATGCAAATCCAGCAATTCTTGCACAGTCAACAAGTTGTGAAATGGTAAAATCACCACTGACCTGTTGATTGTTTTCGGTGGGAAAAGAGGTAGAATTACAACACAGAAGGAGCAAAACACCTTGCAAAATGTAGAATGACTGAAAAATACCCTCACCGTGGTGTGGTGAAGAACTACGGAGAATGACTCGTTACTCAACCATACCTCCAATTAACCAGTGGAAGACGCCCTTAATGGATCCGTGAAGGTTTCATGACC